TTAATTTATTTCCTATTATTGCTTCTTTGTAATCTTATAAAAACCTCCTTATGGAGAAAAATAGAGTCAGTATTTGAGTTTTGTGAGATTATTAGAAAATATAAATTTACAACAAACTTTATTTCAACTTGGTATCAAAGAAGATTTCCATCCTAGGTTGAGTTTTGTTGTGAGTGTTTTTCTCTGTTCGTGCACCCACTGACTATGATTGTCTACAATTGTTAGAAGAAAAAGAAGAAGAAAAAGTATTGCTTCTGTGTTTTCCGCTGCTGTGAAATAAGTAAAGAAAATGTTGGATGAGAAACAGATTTGTTTTTTTTTTTTTTTTTTTTGGTTGAAAAGAGGTCTTCATTTATGGATCTTTGACAAAGATTGAATCTTTTCTTGTCGGGTTTTGGTTCTACACTCAGTTTGTTTACATCCTCCTGGTGTTACTCCTCCTTACTATGTGGCCCCGATTGATAAAAGTCTTGCAAACCTAGCGATAGCAGAAGATAAGTCTTGGTAGGCGTGTTTTCTCCATCATGAAGTTTTATAATTCTATCTTAGTTTTCAATTTATTTTTATACTTTTTATCATGTTTTTTGGAATAAGAAAAGCAAATGAAAAAAAAAAAAAAAAGAAAGAGAAAGGAAAAAAGGATTTGGTTGCTGCACTTTCGAAAAAGTTCGCATTAGTTGTAGCATGACAAAAAAAGATTTGACTGCTGCACTTTCGGAAAGGTTTGCGTTAGTGCCAACATAACAAGAGTTTATTGATGGGGTTTTCAAAAAAGGTTCACCTTAGTTTCACCATGCTAAGAGATTTTGTTGGGGTATCGAAAAGCATCGTTTGCTCATGGTAGAAGATTGGTGTTAGTTCTAATTAAATGTTTGAAAAAAGACTTTAGTTCCAGCATATTATGATTTGTTATTCTTTCAAAAAGATTGATGTTAGTTTTAACATTTTGACAAAGGATTTCCTACACATATGACTCTAAAATGAGTGATCCCACGTGAGGGGTGGTTGAACTTAAATAGATTTGATTTCCTTCCACTCATGATTCCAAATCAAGAGTTGGGAGTGAAAGGAGGAATTTGATTTGATTAGGTCTAGGTTTTTTGTCGGATGGACAAAGGTTTGACTTGATTTATTATTGCTGCTCCTTTGTAATTTCATAAAAACCATCTTATGGAAAAGAATAATGTATTTGAGATTGTGATTTATTAGATAATTCTAAAGTTTACTAGAAACCTTTTTATTTTCAATTGAAATTTCACTCGTTGTCACATATAATATCTCAGGGTGACGAATCAAGTTGTCACTTTGGGCCGATATACAAACATAACTCAAATGAAATTTTGTATTCTTCTTTCAGCTTAGCACCCACTCACAGATTCATAGATTCTTAATCTCTTACTCTCGTTCCTGACTCTCGCAGTGGTCTCCATCTCTTAGACCTACTTCAATTTTTGGAGTAAAATTCAAATTTTAGATTCTAAACTTATCCCAAATTGCTCCAATCCTTGGGGCAAATATGAGTTAAAATCCAAAACTCATTTCTGGGGCAAATTTAGCTCAGGATTCCCTTAGGCTAGTGGGGCTGACCCATCATATATGTGTATTTTTTTTAGTTTTATATTCATAAATTCATTGAAACCAACAGTTAAGATCTAATATGATCTAATCCAACGGTAAAAAAAAAAATAATAAAAAAATCTAATAGTTCAAATTTAAATCCAACTGCTAAAGTAATTAAAAAAATTATTTTATGTGTTTCATATTCTTTCATAGTGTTCCACAAGTTTCATGGTGTTGGTTTTGTGATTTTTAATATTTAGCGGAATCTAAATATTTTTAGGTTAAAATGTTCATAAAATTAAATTAGGAGAGACTACATAATTTATTGTTTAAAAAAAGTTTCTTTAAGAAAAAAATTATCCTAAATTCATTATTTAATAATCTTGAGCTAAAAATTTAGAGAAGTGTTATTAGCACTCTAAAAATCTCATTCTACACTCCTCACAAGTGTATTTTTCTTTCTAAATATATAAAGTTTGAAGTGTAAAATGAGAATTTTGAAATGTCAATAATAATTCTCAAAATTTAACCCAAAAGGGTTGGGTGAGAAAAACTATTTTTGGATTAAAAATTTTAAGTTTTAACCCAAGTATTGGAGGTGGTCTTATCAAACCTAGTGACTCAGTCAGGGCCCATCTCTTTCCCTCTCTGATTCCAGACATCCGAGGTGGCATCATACCCAATAGATAGAGTAAGAAGGGGCTTATAGATAACACCGGTGATACAAATAATAACCAATAGGTTTTGTTGAATCCAATTAAAATAGTCATGATTGGGAATATGGCGAAGAGGCGTTTTCTTTGGCTTATGTTTAGGGTCGGCAATTTGAGATGGTGGGAGAAGTGAGAGCCATCCACAAATTTTCAGAGATGATGGCCGATAAGAAAGGGCTTCATACGAAGCCATGAGAGGTAATTGATTCAGTGAGTTTGAAAAAGTGGGTGGCGTTGGAGTCAAACAGGGATGAGGAAGCCAAGAGAAGAGACAAGATACCCTAGAGAACAAAGGAAGAGGGATGGTTTGAGGGTGGACAAAAAATTTCGAAAAGCCCTAGGACCTAAATAGGATGATACCATATAATTAAATTATAAAACCGATCCTTATTGTGAAATCTTACACTAATTACAATTAATAATTACAAATGGCAACTACGAAAAAGATTTTGAAGTTCAGAAATATATTCCAACAATTAAAACCTGGAGTAAATTACACGGTAGATGCAGGTGACATATAATATAATCAAGATTCAAGAAATTAATGTAAACTAGGCGACAAACATCTTCTTTATAATTGGTGTGTGTGTGTGTGTGTGTGTGTATTCTGTTCTTAATACTTCTTCGTTCATTTTCTTATATCGGGCTAGTTAGATAGCCATCAATTTCTATGATCTATTGTATCCATCTGTGAGTGCTTTCCTACTTAAGTTTATCTTGTACGGTTCATCAATCATCCAGACGATCTAGCCATCAAACAAATGATTGATTTGGATAAAGAACTTATCTTTGGTTACGCAATATCAATCATGAAGATAATATAAAAAATCGTTTAATCATTTATATATATATATATATATATATATGTATGTATGTATGTGTGACTAAACAATCTTTAAATCAAATGAATGTCTCTTGTGATTTTACTTCATTTCTTTTAAAAGTGTAATGGTCGTAGACCATCTTATATGTTCTTGCGGCCCATACTAATAAAGATGTCGTGATCTTTAAGGGAACCGGCCCTCCTCAAGTTTAGAAGTCCTAATTATAATTGTATTTTTGTACTGTATGCTATTCTTTCTTGTACGACAAATACTACACGTATATGTATATATAAACGCACTGCTATCAATAATATTCATTTAGTTACACAATTCTATATATATATAATAGTCAACAACCTTTGATTATCCATCGATCACATCAATTCACCATAGGTATTATGTGACAATTAAATCAAGGGAATTTTAACGAAAAACTTCAAGTACTGTTCATTTTAACGAAAATTATATTTTTACACTAAAAAATCAATTATGATACTATTTACTTTATCCTTTATTTTGTTCTTATTATTAAAATTCAAACTTTTCAAATTTTTTTTTTTATTAATTTTCTTTTAAATCAATGCATGTATGTCTATTCTTTCTACCCATCGGCACATAATAATAAACAAAATAACTGTGGACTTTAAACCACTAATCATATCTGTTGGTCATCCAATAACTACTCTGCAACAGTCTATCTAGTAAGGCTCGTAGTTTCTTCCCTAAAGAAACTTTTTCCTTTTACTTTTTTTAATCAATGATATTGCATGCTTTTTAAATTCAAAACCGAAATTGCGTCACTTTCCGTACTGTAACGTATAAGCGTACGAGCAATACTGCCGCTATCACATATATTATAGTTTTATACTGAAACCCAAGCAACCCACTACTAATCACATATATTATAGTTTTATACTGAAACCCAACCTACCCACAGACACGCCCCCACAGACACGCATCTAATCTCATCTCATCCCCAGCAAAAATATCATAAGCAGCACTGCTGCGCCACTTGCACATACATTGCATATATATGATTAGGATTCGGTTCGACACAATTTTTGTAAAGCTCATTTTGCAATGCATTTTAAAGATATGATTATTTATATTTTGTCCTTCTTTAAAAATTATGTTTATAAAAAATCACACACATCCGCAACCCTATAAGCATTTGATTAAATTTAGTGTTTCTTTGTAGAACCATATTTGTCAATTTTTTCATTACAAATGAATATCTTAATAATTTTATATTTGCCTAATTTTTTGTAAAGATAATGTATGAATGATGTTTAAAAATATCAACAATTTGAATCGTTGAAATACATTTGAGCTACACAAAATCAAGATTCTAAAAAATGCTAGGCGCTAGTTAGACGGCAAGCTAGGGCCTAGCGGCTAGATAGAGCATAGGCGGACTACGCGGATTTAAGTAAATCTATTAGATTTTGTGTAAATAAGTGTCTGTTTATACTTAAAATATATATAACTTCATTATAAACTACAAAATAGAATGACATATATATTAGAAGTATTGGAACATAATGGAAACATGGGAAACATGCATATACATGTATTCATTTAAGTATTCAATAAGTCTCTTACAATTTATTGACAAAAATAAAATGCAAAATGAAAGTTATCTATTTTCTGTCTAAGTGAGTCGCAACCTAGGTGGGTGCCTAGGCGGTCTAGGTGGGTGCCTTAGTAAGTCAAGGTGCCCTTTCTTAATTTTCAAACTCTTAGGCATTAATTGGGATGGTGGTCAATCCTTTAACACTTAGGCGACACTAGGTTGGGATTTTTTAAACAGTGCACAAAATATGTGTCAAATGCGTTAAAAGTACGTGTTTCCGGATCTAACCATATCTATATAAAGCAAACCCACTTCATCAATCTTAATGTTTTCTAGGTTATAAAAAACAGGTGAGAAATTAAGCAGAAGGCAACAATTATGCAGCAAAACGATGAAGTTTCAACTCGGCCATCGCTAGCTTTTCCTGTTAGCTTGGCGCTGCTTGTGTTGCTGTTATTGAGCGCCAGCATCTTCTTCTTGTGTTGCCTCCAATGGGACAAGCTTCGGTCTCTATTTCTGTCCTCTGTGGAAGAAGGCAACCCTGACGATCATATCCTACCAGATTTAAATCAGAAATCTACTCGTCCAAACATGGTACGTACGCAAATATGCAAATCTGTGCCTTTGTTTTTTTTTTTTATATTTTAATAAAAATTAAGTGCTGTATTTTTATTGGTTTTAATTGTTCATGTGATAGATGGAAAAGCAAAATCAGCAGAAGAGCCTGACAGTGCTGATGCCAGGAGATCAGGTGCCAAAGTTTATAGCAATTGCTTGTCCATGTCAGGCTCCAGTAATGGAGAAGCTCACTGTGATTGTGCAGAAGCCTACCCTTTTTCTTTAATGGTGCTACTGTATATAGCTAGTAACTGACTAGTTTCAAATGCTTAATTCAAGGTGATTTTTCTCTATTCTTAACTTTTTGGTTTATCCAAAAGTTGAAAATTGAAAAGGAAGTATATATTCTTGTACAATATTATTTGTAAAGAAGAAAATATGGTCCATTGTTGTTAGATTTTGGAGCTCATTCAACACAAACCATCATAGTGCAAATCAGTTACATATATATTGAGCCTAATCCTTAACTTCCCTTTTTGTTCTTAATTCTGATTTTTCAGATTTTTTTTTTCCTTGAATACATGACAACCACCCAGTAACCTTTCGTAAGATGTTAAAGATTTTAATTTAATTTGTAGAACTATCACTCGAATGCTAATTAGTTAGTAAGTTAATACACCGCTAATTAATAACTTGTTTTCATCTCATAATTGAATCTTATGGTCTGAAAGATTCATTTTTAAGTCATTATTAAAAAAATTATATTTATAAAAAAATCAATTAAATCAGAAATCTTTTCACTATTTACTTGTTACCCGTTCTTCATCTATCGACATTGTCACCGACGCGATTGTGTCCCTCTACTTTTTTATTTGTCATGGTCAGATATTTTTCAAATTGAGTGAGTTTATATATGTATGATTTTTCATTGACGATCTGAAACAAGGTATATTTGAACAAATGATATATATTATCTACACTAAGGAGATAAACGAGTGCGCTAAGTCTCATAATGGGTTAGCAATAATGTGGTTCAAATTTGTCTTTGATAAGAATTGAGCCTAAGAATTTTTACTTACAAGTGAAGAGCAATACCACTAGACCATAGTATATTACTATATTTAGATCATGAAAAATATCATGTAGTGGTTTAGCCACCAATCAACTTACAAACTTATTGCCATTTAGTACTACACTTCAGTGATATTTCTCTTCATTTATAAGTGAGGTATTATGTTTGATTCTCATCAAAGAAAAATTTGAATCACATTATTGCGGGTTTTCATCATAAATAACCAAAATTTAACCCTAATTTCATATAGGTCAGTTTTTGCAATTTCTTTCAGATATAGCCGAATTATTATTTAAATCGACCTTAGTACCCTTAAAATTAAAGCTCAATTACGTATAATAAGCCTCATCAAGATGACTCCCGATTTTATTTCTTCCTTCTTTTATTATCACCACAAGACAAACAAAGAAACTCAAAATATCCCAGGCCATAAAGATATCAGATTGTTTTTTCCTTCTTGTAAAAATCAAAATCTCATTATTAATCAAAATCTCATTATTTAATTTTGCGAGAACTAATAAGGGTTTAGCTAAAGCTTATGTCTTTACTCAAATAATGTGTGAACACCTTCAGCCAAATTTTGGAATTAGAACCCTTTGAGAGAAAAGCAGCAAGATCTCAACAATGTATATTAGTCTCTTGTTGATTGTTCTATCCCAACTGGATACGAATGCAGTTTCTTTTTAATTTTAATTGAGATAATAGCAAAAATTGTGTTAATTCAGTTTAATACACTCATCTCCCCTTTAGTATAGATAATATAGTTGGTTAAAAATAAAAAAAATAAAAGCTTGCAAACTTGTTTGTGCTTCTAAGCACCATTGAATTTATAAAACCAGATCATCAATAGTTTTCTACACCAAGGATTCGAAATTGGCGTACCAGATTGTTGGAACCCAAATAATAAGCGAATCAACATAGTGTAGAATGTGTGAGGATGTTAATGTTCACATAAAGCTTCTTTTTTTTTCTTTTCTTTTTTTTTCTGTCCTTTTTTTTTTTTTTTGTCCGTCAAAATGCTCACATAAAGCTTAATATTGTATGGTTGTATTTGGTTGTTAATTTTCATGTAACAGTTCTAGGCTACCATTATTTGATAAGTCTGAAATAAGATTTGTAAGTACTCTGTAAGTTTGTCTTTAGGGGTGATTCTAAATTTTGTCTTCAATCTTTTATAACATTACAAAGAACTGCCTATCGTTTTGAAAATTAAACATATGTTGAGTCACTAGCGATAAGTGTTGACGTGGATAAATGTTGAAGGAGTTCTTGACTCTCACGTTATCAATGAAATTTTGAATATGCAAATTGAACCCTTATAGCAAAGCAAAATTAGGGTTTAGTTTGGCTAAAAGGGGTGATTTGCGAATTTAGAGTTCCAAAGACAACGATTAGTGAAAGCGAGTTTTAATATTTGTGCATGTCATCACTGAACTCTATTAATTTCATTATTTAATGTTGGTAAAGTCACCACTTAAGGCTGGTGACTTAACGATATCAACTTCATCATTTATTACGTGGAGCTTCGATAAGCAAAAATGTCTTAGCCAAGTCAGTTAAGTGTAGTCCGATCAGAAATGCTCAAGTCCAACATATATGGTCTAAAGAAAGGATTCTCCTTAACGAATTTTCGTTAAAGATTCACTAGGGATGAACATGCAATTCAGATTGAGAAGGAAACCCCTTCTTGGTGATATGTTGTGGCTATTAAAATCCTCAAACACAAAATAGGGCAAGGTGAAAGAACAAATGAAATCAAAATCATGCTTTTCACAACAACACTTAGATTAATTTTCTACAAGTGTTATCAACTATTCATACTCAACGAACAAAGCATCTCAAACATGTCGAACAGACATTAAGATCTGGAGACCATTTCGGACACAATTCGTCATTTTCTCATCCTTAATCCGATCAAGGCATTAGAACAAGTTCCAAGCAAAAGATTTTTCATGGGTCTTAGACCCAGTGTCGAAGTAGGGTGATACTTCGATTATTGTAGTGGAAATCTTTATAAGCTTTGAGTTCGAGAGATGACATTCCATACTTCAATGTTTTCGAGGGGGCCTAGAGCTCTGTCGTGGGTCTACAAGCTTATTTGCGTTTGACTCTTACTTATTACTCCTAAGTTAGTTAACTTAGGAAAGATTGTAGTTTACTTAGGAAAAATTGTTGGATTAAGCTACACCCGCGATATTAGTTAACTTAGGAAAGATTGTAGTTTACTTAGGAAAAATTGTTGGATTAAGCTACACCCGCGATAAGGAAGTGTTTTACTCTAATAGGCTTGATGACTTGAATAAAATAAACTTAAGAAAATATTTTCTAAGTCATCTAAGTCCTTCTAGGAATACATAGGCGCATTCCGCATTGCATCCAACTTTCAGCTATGCATTGGAACTCCGACCAGGGGTCAATAATATGGTTCGAAACTTTGAAAGATCAGATATTTAAGAGATAAGCAAGAAGGACTAGCTGAACTTGACTAGCTCTAAATCAAACAAGTAAAGCGCACTCTTAGAAGTATAGTTAGGGGCAATTGTGGGACCATGACACGTGGAACCTTGGGTGGTAAGAAGGACCTGAAACGCTATAGCCCATGAAATTCAGACGATTGGACTAGTCAGACAACCATTCCACAACTTGTATTACTTGTCTCCCAAGTAAGGAACCCCTAATTCATGTCAAATTAGGATATCTTAGGAATTAGGCAACGTAATCAAAATCCTAGGAGGATTGGATATCTTATCCTAGATTCCTTCCTGATTTATTAGGATTACTTTCCCTACAATGACTCTCAAGATCTCTATAAATACCCTAACTTGGACATTTATCTCTGTAATCAACCCCAACTAAAGATACATATCTCTTGGGCCTGATATATTTTACAAGACGATTGATCATCTTCTCGACATGAGTACCATACAAGACGATTCATCATCTCCTCTACATGACTACCATACACATATTCTTTCATATACGTGATCATCTACGCGTAGACACGTCCATAGAGAACTCATCTTCTTAAAGCCCCGCCATAGGCTATTTGTCAACAATGGTTCATGATGTACTGCACATTGCATTAGTTCTTCTTTAGAATTGTACTGCATAATTTAATTCTCCATCCCTGGAGATATGTAGGTAGTCTGATCTGATTTAATCACACCCCTCCAATTAACCATATTCTCCCCTTGCAGAGATCATTGGCAATTCCAACTGGATTTTGCCCCCGTCTGTAGATATGCACAAATTTGGTTTCAACACAATCCTTAGTAAGAATGCAAGTTAATCCTGGAAAAGCAATTGAAGTGCTTTTGAAATCCAATTTTTTTTTTCACTGAAAGTTATTTCAAAGTACTCTTCAAACAAAGCCCTAAAGTGCATTAATTTAAAGTTGAAAACCTATAAATGTTCAAATAAATGAAGAATTTGAGCACATTGACCCTCTCCAAAAGAGATGTCAAAACTCAAAGGTGCCAAATGGTATAAAAACGGCAGTTTCTTCCAACAGATGAGTTTTGTCTGAAGTGGAATTGAGGACTAATATCCCAGGCTTTTTCCACAACATAGTCCAATAACGTCTAATCCATTAATTTGATTTATTTAATAAATGTCTCAAACTATCCATAGATCAGATACCGCACCCCAACCAATTTGCACAACTTTTTACAATTTTTGTACCACTAGGCCCACAGTATATAATAAAATGTTAGAAATAAAGTATGGCATCTGAGAAAATAGAGAGACAAGATAGAAAATGGAGAATGAAACAGAGTCCATTTCTTTCTTATTACAGTGCATATTTATAGGCTTCGGATTTACATAGAAAATGTCTCAACTATTTACATATTAGATAGTGATCCAGAATGTGAACATTCATATAATAAATGTTATTTATAAAACTTCTCCTTGGATGTTCACCAATCAATGGTAGTTGCCTCAATAAAACCTTACTTGAAAAAGCAGTGGGAAAAAACCTGAGCGAAGGAAAGTAATTGGGCACCATGGTTATGAAATATTGCTATTGTCTTCAACTTGCATAATGTTGACTCACTAAAATCTTGATAGGAAAAATCCAATGGGATAAAAACTTAGTCAAAGAGAAAATGGCACAACACGCTTATATGTCCATTATAACATATTGTCAAAGACTCCCTTTGATGAATAACTCTGCTAAGTAAGTGACTCCATTTGATGATAGTGACCCTTGATTTAACTGGTCATCACTGTCAAGTTTGAAGTAATGTAACTTTGGTCTTCAAGAAATTAAGCTTGAGTAGATCTTGACATGGGGAAGTGCGAAAATTTATCAAGAATTGATAACAGTTGTTTGTGTTCCTGCATAGGACAAATAAAAATCTAGAATATAAAATAAACTATGAGTA